TTTCAAAAGCACTCTGTCTCTAATAAATAAACTTTCAGCTATTTTCCATGTCTTTAAAAGGTTAAGTAGATAGAGGTGAATCCATCCGGCTTCCTCATTTACCTTACTTCAGGGACTCATTGTCAATAACCAAGAATTCATGTTTGCTACTGCAGGCATTATACTAAAGCATTATTTTTTAATCATGGGCTTTTGAATAAGCCTTAGCCAGATTCATACAATACATTAATGTATAAATCATTATTTACAAGGTGCCACAGTTGGATTCATGCTCCACTAAAACCAAGCAAAGCAAATTATTTAAGGAAGATGCTTGTTATGATTGTGTCTACATGTTTGATTTGTGACTCATTTATAAAGTTGAGGGGAGGTTGTTGCTTGTTCACTAAAGAAAACCAAGATTTTGTTGTTTTTATCTCTGTTAAATTTTGGCTATATATTATAGAGCTAAAATCAACTCCATCCAGAGAAATTTATACATTTGTATGATCAGACACAGTATTTGTATCATTTAGATCCAGGGCTTTTTTTCAGCCGGAACGCGGCGGAACCGCGTTCCGGCACCTTTTTCCGGGCCGGCCGCACCGGAAATAGCCCCTCCCAAATTTTACTTGCATTCCTGTTCTCTAAAGGGGCGGTCCTAGGGTTTGATGAGGGCGTGGCCAGGTTTGAGTTCCGCCACCTTTTCTCCGAGAAAAAAAGCCCTGTTTAGATCTGATGTGAAATGGTTTGCTCTTCTCTTTCTACAAATTGTGTTTTGAATGTCCCAGGATACTAAGCTTGGGTTTTCTTCATTTATTTATTTAGAAGATATACATTGCTGCTCATCTTAAGTATATAACTTTAGGAGGTGAACAATGCACAAACAAAAAAAAAGAATATTTTGGGGGGGAAACACTAACCCATTAAAATAGAACTGTTCAAAGAAAAGCAAATAAATAACTACATAATGATTCTATTAAACACACAAATATACTTACCTCTCCTAATAAGAATAAGAAATAAATATTGGGCAATATAAAGATCAATTGCTTCTTCTACATATTATTCAAGGCATGACAAAACACATTCTGAAATAATTTGCAAGCTATCTGGTTTGACTTTTGACTGTTCTAATAGCACTTCATTGATTGCAAGCTGCAGTTAGGGTGGGGTTGGGATTGGGGATAGGGTTAGGATTTTTTTTAAAATAACATTTTTAATATTTAGCAAACAGCATGTTGTCTGAGTACATGTATTTAAAAAGAAAAAACAATGAGTAGTAATTAATTATCATAACAATGTTAATTAATCGCTCGATAGTCTTCTTCTTACTAGTATATATTCAATGTTACAGATCACATTCCTTTCTAACTCGTTTTTCTAGCCATTGATAAAAATTATCCCATGTTCTAAAATATACTGAGTCTTCTTTCTCTTTTATCTTTAAAGTCAATCTATCCATTTCTCCACACTCTAAAATTTTCTTAATTCTTCTTCAGTTGGTGAATTTTTATTTTTCCAATGTTGGGCAAATACAGTTCTTGCTGCAGCTAATACATGTAAAATTAAATATATGACAGTCTTTGTCATAATTTGCTCCTATTATTCCTAACAAAAATAATTCTGGCTTAAAGTCTATTTGTTTTTTAGTCATTTTCTCCAACCATAAATGTATTTTTGACCAAAATCTTTTAGCTTTAGTTTAGGGCATGTCCACCAGATATGGTAATAAGTACCTGGTCTTTGTTTGCATTTCCAACACTTGTTTGAAGTATTTTTAAACATTTTTGCTAATCTCACTGGTGTTAAATGCCATCTGTAAAACATTTTATATAAGTTTTCTTTATATGCCACTGCTTTTGTTAATTTAGCATTTCTTTCCCATAACTTCTGCCAGTTTTTTAATTCTATATTATGTCCAAAGTTCTTTGCCCATGTTATCATTGTTTCTTTTACTTGTTCTTCCTCCATCTTTAAGCTTAACAGATATAGCGTTTCTTAATCAGTTTTTCGTCTGTTTTTGTCAGTATCTGGTCGAATTCTATCTGTTCTTTATGAAATCCCATTGTTTTAACATCTTTTTCATATCTCGTTTGGATTTCCAAGTATGGCCACCATGATAGATCAATACCTTGTTCTTGTAAGTCTTGTCAGTCTTTCAATATCCCTTCATTGTCCAAAATATCTTTATAGGTCACAACTTTGTCATAATTAATTAAATTTGGGTAAGCAAATGCTTCCATTGTTGAAAGCCATCCAGGTATCTTGATATAAATTTTCGCTTTTATTTTTTCCCATTCTAAAAGAAGTGCATTTCTTATAAAGTGGTTTTGAAAGTTTCTATGAATTTTATTCTTCCCATACCACAGAAAGGCATGCCAACCAATATGTACCGTAGGTCATGCCCCTCTAGGTATAATAGTCTTTTATCTCCAAGTATTATCCATTCTTTAAGTCATGTTAATATAGTTGCTTGGTAGTATAACATCCAGTCCGGCAGTCCAATCCTCCACTTTCTTTCGCTTCTTATAGAATTTTCAGTCTGATTCTAGCTTTTTTTGCCAGATAAATTTCAGTATTACTGTATTTAGTTCATCAAAAAAGGCTTTTCCCAGTCTTACAGGTATCGTTTGGAATAGAAAGAGTATTTTCGGTAAGATATTCATTTTCACTGTTGCTATTCTCCCCAACATTAAAAGTTGTAAGTTTTTCCATTTTTCCAAGTCCAATTTTATTTGTTTTAGCAATCTTACATAATTATCCTCTTTTATTGTTGCACATCTTGCTGTTAAATAAATTCCCAAATATTTAACTTTTTTAACTATTTGAAGATTTGGGGTTTTTTTGCTAGTTGGTTTTTTTGTTTTTCTTTAAATTTTTTGTTAGCACTTTAGTCTTTTCTCTGTTCATTTTCAACCCTGCCACTTCTCCAATTTTTTCTATTTTCTCCATAGGTTTAATGCTTGTTTCAAGCGGTTCTTCCAATATAAAAACTGTCATCTGCAAATGCTTGTAGTTTATATTTTTCATCTTTTATCTTCAGGCCTTTAATTTCTATATCTTGTCTGATGTTTCTATTAAATACTTCCAGTGTTAGTATAAATAATAATGGAGATAGTGGACATCCCTGTCTTCTGCCTTTTTTAATGTCAAAGTTTTCTGTAAAATCTCCATTTACAATTATTTTGGCTGTTTGTTTATAATAAATTGTTTTAATTACATTTATAAAGTTTTCTCCAAAGTCCTTTTCCTCTAGTTGCTGAAACATAAATTGCCAGTTTATGTTGTCGAACGCTTTGTGTGTATCAAGAAATATTAAAGCCATCTGTTTCCCTGGATGAATTTCATAGTATTCTAACACATCTAGAATCATTCTTAAATTATTTTTAATCTGTCTTTTAGGTAGAAAGCCATTTTGATCTGTATGTATAAATTCGGTCAGAAATTTCTTTAGTCTTTCTGCTATTATTGAGGCAAAAATTTTGTAATCTATATTTAATAATGATATTGGTCTATAGTTTTTTATTTGCATTAGATCAGAGTGTTCTTTGGCTATTTAGGTAATATTGGCTTCAGTGCATGTATTTGGTATTTTAGCCTCCAAAAGTATTTCATTGTATAGTTCTTTCAATATTGGGCTTAGTATATCTTGTAATGATTTATAAAGCTCTGCAGGTAATCCATCTGGACCTGGAGTCTTATCAATTTTTTGCCTTTTTATAGCGTCTGTAATCTCCATCATTGATATTTTTCCATTTAATATGTTTTGAATATTCTCTGAGATTTTTGGTAAGCCTGCTTTTTTTAAATACTGCTGTATTTTTTCTTTTGAGATTTCCTCTGCATTGTAAAAGTATTTTGTAATAGTCTTTAATAATTTTTTTAATTGTGTCATTTTGAAACTGTAGTTTACCTTTTGAGTCTTGCAGCTTATTTATCAGTTTGTTCTCTTTTTCTTTTTTCAATCTATGTGCTAACCATTTCCCCGGTTTGTTGGCATTTTCAAAAAAGTTCTGTTTAGCCCTTTTAATCTATTGAGCCATTATTTCCATCTCAACTAAATTTAATTTGTTTTATTATTCCATAAAAGAAATCTTGAAAGTTGTCAAGCCATACAATGTACAGTAGATCCAGAGGAGAATGTTTTTATTGAACTTTAATAATAGTTTCAAAAACAAAGATGATGTGTAGGAGGCCTGGCCAAGTATGGTTGGCAACATACAGGGGATTTATAGCAAATATGCAAGCATTTTTATCAGTAGATAAATTCTTGTGAGAAGCATTCCTGAATGTGGAAAGTATTAAAATCAGGATATTCTCTTCTCAGATTGCAAGATACTCAAGATGCTTCGTGGCAGAGCATGTGATGCAACAAGTGTATCACTTAGTTGAGAAACCAGGTGCTGTAACTTCAGGAAGTCTATAAGAATGTAATTGTGGGTGTGGGTGTGGGTGTGTGTCTGTGTTCCTGTAATCTTCTATATATAAATAAAAATGTAAATATTTGTTTGTTCAAAATCTTAAATCTCCGAAAGTTCTTCACCGATTGCTTTGAAATTTTGACACAACGTTGCATTCGAATACGCGCGTGTTTTTATATACCTATATTATATAGATGTCACACCTGTGACAGGCAAAAACATGCTTTTTTTAAAAAAACAGCGCCATCTGTTGAACGTAAAAGCAAACCAGACAATCTCTATATCTGCACAGACAATGGAACAACAAAAAATATTGTATACCCACAAGCATTGTGAAATTAAACATATTACAAACGTGCGCTTTCTCTTTTCTTTCTTTTCCATTTAACCAGACTGAGCCACAGTAACGCGTGGCCGGGTACAGCTAGTAACTTCATAAAAGTGAGATGGATAGCAAACAAATTTAATAATAAAATAAAATAAAAGCATGCAAAATAGACAGGGAAGAAGGTAATTAATTCCACCTTTTGAATAGAGTGCTGAGTGTATTTTCATGTTAAAATGTAAACCAATTCTCTTTCTTCCTTTTTATTGTAGGAATCTGAGCTTTTGACCATGGAATTTGATGAGACTGAATTGAACAAAATGTTGAAGAAACTTTCAAAGATTGAAGACAGCATTATTTCTCTGACCCAAAAATCATCCTGATTTTTCACTTAAAACAATGTTTGAGTAATACTAAGGTTGACCTTAATTACATGTGTAGATTATCCTGGACATCATGCTGTTCTTGCAGCAGTGTTTGAAAACTTATACATAAATATGAGATCAAAGGGGGAGGCGGGGAGGTAACTGAGGCATTCAAACTGATGTACACCTTAAAACAAAAGAACATAGCTAGATTCACTGAAATAAAATGCTCCTCCGGAAAAATGTAGAATTTGTACAATAAAAGAGCAAATATATTTACCTTTTCCATTACTGACGTCACTATGTGGTTTATTCATCCAGCCACTGAAAAGCAATTTGTAGCAGTAGCTGCTGTACATTTGTAGATCCAGGAGAGGGAATGCCATAAGAATGCCATTCTTTTCTTTCTTTATTTCTCTTCATGTTTTCACCAGTTCAAAAAGGGTTGTTACTTGAGGAAAACATTAACAGTAGTGTATTTTAGTTTCATCTTCTCTTTCTGGAACATTGTAGGAAATTGCAGATTCCCATGCTAGAAATAATTCTTTAGTTATTAATTGACCCATTAGGGTTTGACAGATCTTCCATTTCTGTGGCACAAAACTAGCCATAGGCATTATAACAAAAAGGTGGTCATTTTAAAAAAGCTATATAGCATTCATTAGCAATAGAGAGTAAATACTGTATGTTTTCACAAAGAGTTTTCAGTATTAACTGTTTCATTATCTCAACAGTGTGGTATTGAGTACTATAGAAGTTATTGAAAATGTAGAATATATTGACAAAACTTTAAAGAGAAAGGGATATCAACTCTAGAATGTTTTGGTGTTTACAATCTAAGTTTTTTTTTATGCCAAACCATCTTCTCTTCCATTCAGTTTCCTTCTGCTACTCAACTTGGCCCTCTGTACAACAGATCATATTTTTAAATGTTGCCTTAGAAACTAGCCTTGAAATGTTTCTTCCAGAACACATGCTTTCCACTTGACGATACAGCTATTGAGGTTTTTTTTTTAATGTCTTGTCTACCAGACTATCTGTACAATACAGAGTATCTCCTTTTATACCAAGCAGTCATATTCCTATGTGGTGATTTCATACCATAGTATCTGCCCTGATATTAATTATGCACTATAAACTAAAGCCTTCTCAAATGAGCTTCTCAGTTATCTTTGTGCATATCTGAATAAAAGCTGCAATAGCTCTTTTTAGAAAATCAGTAACTAGAGGGGTACAAAAATATAGCAAATGTCTATCAAACTCAGCTAATTTGCAGTAGTTTATCTATTACTGTCTTTTTTGTTTTCAAATCTTATAACACTAATCAAGCTCACTAATGTTACAATTAACATTAAAGAAATATACAGTTCTTAAAGAACCATGTGTTGCATGTATTTACCATACACATATGTATGATGTTCTCATTACATTAATGGCTTATTGACTATTTGTAGAAGTCCAAACATAAAATAACTCTATACTTTAAACTGCCCTTCTTCAGCTTGATGTCCTCCGAAGACCTTCAGATTACAAGTCTCAGAATTTCCAACCAGTTATAAATTACAACCCCCAAATTTCCCAAGGGCATGTGGTTAGAGAAAGTTCTTTTAAAGCATAGTATTTAGCCTCTGTTCAAAATACAGTTACATGGTTTACATAGGTGTTATTTTCATTTAGTTTCATATACTGTATGTATTAATTAAGATGATTTACTTCTGATTCGTGTGGTTGCTGGTGAACATGAATATAAAATGGAAGTTTTCTCTATATTGTTTATGAGGTAAGATATTAGGTTTTTTATTTGTTTATCTGAATCTTGGAATTAAAACCTCATTGCATTCTTCTTCATTTTTTTAAATATGTTGTCTTTTCCATTACTGACATCACTGTGGTTTATTCATCCAGTCACTAAACCTTGTTTTCCTACATTACTTACAGTTCACTGCCACCTTAGTGTGTCCTTTTCCTATAAAAAAACAACTTTATCTTGAACTATTCTGTAACTGTTTAAATTTTTTGAATATTTTCAGACAAAAGCAGGGAGGGAGGGAGGGAAGAAGGAAGGAAGGAAGGAAGGAAGGAAGGAAGGAAGGAAGGAAGGAAGGAATTATCCAACCAAGACTTCAGTTCTTAGCTTATAATAATAGTCTTCATTATTATGCATTGAAATACTAGTTATTTTTGAAATCTATCTGCAGGATAATTTTTGGTCTATTTGTTTTTTGTTTGTTTGTTTATTTATTATTCTATGACGTATAATGTCCTTGTTTTCTCTACTTCTAATGGCAGAATCATGTCTATCATGTTCTGTATAATCATACAAATAATATATTTAAAAGCTTCAAAACATATTTATCAGTCTTCTACATTAAAAAAAATATTTTTAATTTGTTATAACAGTTCCTGAAGTTCACACTTGTATTTTTCCTGAACCTTCACTTGCTTTTTCCTCTACTTCCTGGAATTTTATATGGGTGTGTATTCTAAATATTTAGAAATAGTAGCTTAGTTTAGCTGAGGACAGTTATGGTTATTCACATATAAAGCCTTTTAAGGAAATAAGTTAATATGGCAATAGCAGATTCTGGGTAGGCCAGTGTCCTTTTCCAGCAACCAATCTGGAACTGCATTTCCTCCCTCAGATTATAATGAGGAAAGGTAATAGGAATGTTTCTAATTTTGAAAAAAAAACACATTTTGGATTAGATGGGGGGAAGAAACTATGAAAATATATGCAGGCAGTTGTATAAATAGAGAGCATGGTATAGATATAGACAGACAGCCTCTACATAGACTAATTAGGAACTACATTTCAGCTCCATGCTATACCGGTACTTGTGAACTTCTAGATGCACCTGGCTAACATTTTAAATATAGTATTTGCTTAAAGGGAATACCTCGCTATAATTTAATTGGGCATGTGATCCCTATTTAAAGTTTCTGGATGCTATTGAAAGAAATTGAGCTACACCTCAATCATTCTGTTTGCTTCATATAAATTCCTATAGTAATAGCCATTCCAGCTTCTGGATTTCTGCAGATCTACTTCCAAGAAAGCAAATATATTTTCCAGTGCTGATTGAGGAAGCTTTGGATATGTTGTAGATTCTTGACTGAAGGGCTGAAAACACACATATAAACACAAATATGTGAGTCTAATCCCATGATGTGAGAACTTCATTGGTATGCCACAGTTATTTCTTCTTATACTGAGTTTGGATGATATCTCTTTCCCATCCCTCCTTGAATTTCATGCAGTCTAGTCTTTTAAAAGAAGAATTAGATCCTGGTTTTGGGAAATTGGTGATGCCACTTGGCTATTACTCCCGGTCTTTCTTCAGGTTCTTCCCAATGCTCTAGGAATATGTACATTTGCCAGGGCATAGCTCCTGCTCAAGCTTTTTGTGGATCTAGAATGATCATCACCATCAGATGAGTTAGGAACTAGGGCTGGCTTCTGCCAATGGACATGAACTGCTGCCCTTTATTGCCGGCATTATTGTGGACCTTGGCAAACTGTTAGGCATCTGCTGCTTAGCTCTCTTCTGGCAGTGCTGTTAAGCTGCTCCAGCTATCACAAGTTTCTCTTGCAATTGCCGATGCCCTCCACATGCATCCTTCAAGTATCAATTTCCATCTCCTACACCCATCTTACATCCTACTCAGCTTTTATGGGCTGCCTATCCAGGTGCAGAGAGAACCCTGGAACAGACTGAAGGAGGAGCCTTTCTGCAGGTATAGGTGGGCTAAGTGTACTACTCTCAATTCTTTGGCTTTGGCAAGTCCAAATCTCCATTGGCCCCAGAGAGTGGCTGAAAAGAGCTCTGTAAATAATTTGGGGAGGAGGCCTCCAGAAGTGCATATCCATGAACAGGCAAATGAATAGATCCTTAACTATTGCCAAGACTTGCCTTGCCAGCAGGAGTGTGAATAGAGGCTGTGCTACAGCTATGGCTCCACAGAAATTTATCCCAGCACCTTTGTTCCTCACCTTTCAAAGGATACTTTCATTGCTCCATCCTTTGGAAATTGACTAAAAATAGAAGGCCAGAATAACACTGAATCAAGGGGAGAATTTGTCTCAGAAGAAATGTGGGCTGATCTGCATGTTGCAGTTAGCTTTTCACGTAGCTCTTATTCTGAAGTATATTTTTATAATATCCTTTTTGGATGCACTTATTCAACCTTTTGTCTGTTTTTGGCGCCATTTCCCAAATAAACCCTCAAGAATCTCAAATTCACAGCATCTGAAGCTTTTTAGATTAAAAAATACAAATAAAATAAATGGTATAGGTCCTTCTGGTACACTCTATATTCATTTTCAAGCAAAAATACAGCAAAGGATACATCAAATATTTATCCTTGGAAATTAAAATAACATGCAATGCAATAAGATTCTCTTTACAATTTAATTGCTTCCAGCAATTGGTAAGAGATTCAGATGCAAAAGAAAAGAAGAAAAAGAGGAATAGATGTCATATGAGCAAAAGTCATAGGTTTAAAAACACTTTTTTTTTTGTTTTAGGGAATAACATGCTGTGATTAAGTAATAAAGATAACAAAGAGCAAGAACAGACATAGAGAATAGAAAGAAAGGACTGCAGGGGCAGACTTAAGAGAATGAAGTGGCCCAGATGGGTAGTGAAGCTCCTTCTGACCCAGTTTTCAATCCAACAAGTATTATAGGATTTCTACTGAGTTTTGAAAGGAGCTACAATTGGCTTGAGAAGTGTTGGCTGTCAACTGTATCAGCCCTAAACTGCATAAGATTGAAAGTTGCTGAAACAGCACAATACATTTTGCTTTGTCTTGTTTTGGTTTTGTTTGGGTTTTAAGCTAATTCTTAAATTGCATTTGATACTTTTACTTGAAAAAGAGTGCTTTCCGACTTTCCATTGGTAGGATATTCTAAAGGTAGGAACGATTGTTGCCGCTATTTGAGGGACATTTATACAATAAACCTGTTCTATAATATTTCTAATGTAACCATCTATAATAGAACTGTTGTCTTGCTAGTTTGAAGAGATAGTGTTCCCAGCGTCAATGTTTGCACTCATCTTTCTGGAACCTATGGCTTTTGTTGAGTCATATTTTTTCATGTCACCTTATAGATATGAGCCTAGGATATACATATTTCCTTTTCATCAGTACTGCCAATTTAGTGTTTGTCTCTTTTCCATGAGAAGTGGGGAAATCTTGTGGAAGACGCTTAGTTAAAACGTTACTAGAAGATGTAAGAATGTAAGATGAAGGAAGATAAGAGATACACATTTTAGGCAAGATGTTTGACT